TCTCTAAGGGAGAGCCCAGCCACCCTGCGGAGGAAACCCATTTTGGCCGCTTGTAACCGGGTTAATTTGTTTATTTAATTTTTTTCTCTTTAAAAAAAGGGGCAGATATTGTAGGTTTTTTCTTCTTTCTGCTGCCTTGCATTTTATTTTGATATTGTATTTACTGTATGTAAAATTTGTATGTTTTTAATAGGAAATTTCTATTTATATTTATTGTAAATTGAAGAATATTTTCTTTGATTTTGTTTGTAAAAAAGGGGCAGAGATTATAAGATTCTTTCTTCTTCTGCTACCTTTCATTTAATTTAATTTGTGTTTTGTTGTATGTTGAATTTGTGTTGTTTTTAAATGAATAAACTTTAAACAAAAAAATTCATTGTCATGGCAAAAAAATAAACAAGGGAGACAGAGCTGATTTTTAATAATTATCAATGAGAATATCTCAAAGCCCCGTCACACCATAATGTTCTAGACTAGAGGTTCTCAAACTGGGGTCCCTGGACCCCCAGGTGTCCGCAAGAGGTATCTTGGGGGTCATCAAAATTTTTAATAAAATGTTAATTTGTTTTTTATTTTTAAAAATGCACGGAGAACAATGAACTAATAAAACAAACATAATAAACTTAATAAAAATATATATTCCTATGGCATTTAAGGGTTGAAAAGACAATAAATTATCTTTTAAAACAGCATGGGGTTTATGGCGGGGTCCCTGGAATTTTTTTTTGCCCTTGTAAGGGGTCCTCCGACCCAAATGGCTAGAGGAACCCTGTTCTAGACGACTTGTGAAAAAAGATTTTCTTCTAAATTACTATTAAAAAGTCATAAACTTGATCAGTTTCTTAACATTACGCCTATAAGAGGCTTCCAGTGTAGGTTAGTTTAGTTTAATTCTATCTTCAATGTAGACGTCTTTAAAGTTTTATAAGTGTAGGGGTCACCTCGAGTGAAGAAACAAGAGAACAGTCAGAGAAATTCTCAATCAAGAGAGAAAGGTGTTATTTCAGGTAACTTTTCGTCTGTTTCAGTCCAAGCCAGAAGCTGTACATCCGGTGCCTTCTTTCAAAATAAAATCTCCCCTCGGGAGTTAAAAACACACTTGGAGGCGAGAAGCCTCGGGGTGGGGCTGGCTGGTGTGCCGAGCCCTGGCTGTTAGGTCCCCCCTAATTAGCTCATTGGCTGAGACCCAACAGGCCAAACTGAGTCTCTCCCGAGAGAGAAAACTCAGCTTTCCTTCCTAGTTGGAGTTAGGAAGAAGAAGTGTGTCGCTCAAAGGCGGCCGTGTTAGTAATAGAAACGGACAAACTTTGGTTCCGCCCTCAGGCGTAAGATGAGTCAGAGAAAGGAAGAAAGATAAAGACTTGCCAGCCAGGCGCCAGTCAAGGCTAAATTCTGTGGTTGTCCAACAACAGAATATGATAACCTCTTTTCAGCTTTTCTTCTGGTGGACTCTAAGAGAAATCACTGCAAAACATTTATGATAATTAATTAACATTTCTGTTTTAGAATCAGTCTGAACCATTCTGTTAGTCCAGATAAATGAAAGATTTTCTCAAGAAAAATCCACAATTATATTACTGTGTTCCCAGTAAAATAAAAACAA